CAGCATCGGGCATCACTGGAGAAAGTCCTATGCAGACCTGGGTCCCAGCTAGGAGCAGCGCAGCATCGTGCACAAGATGCCACATGGGGCTTGAGGGCCAAAGCCAGACTATAGAGGACTTATGTTTGGCTCCCATGGTTTGTTGGGGGTTTTTTTGAGTGTCATTGTATTTTTATTTTCCTTTATACTTGGCCCTGTTCTTCCCAATTCACCCCTCCCCCAGTTTTGCAGACTTATTAGGAGTTTTTCCATCATGTGATATCTCCCCTTTATTCTCATCTGTTTGGCTGTGCATTTGAAGATAGCCAGTGGGAGGAACTTGTATTACAATTTGTTTTTGGTTTTCTTTAATATTTATTTATTTGATTACAGGTCTTAGTTGAAGCATACAGGGTCTTCAATATTTGTTGCAACATGCTGGATCTTTAGTTGCAGCATGTAGGATCTAGTTTCCTGACCAGGGATTGAATCCAGGCCCCCTGCATTGGGAGCTCAGAGTCTGCTACTAAACCACCAGGGAAGTTCCTTCCATGGTGTTTTTAAATCTCTCAAGGTAGTTGTTGTTTTCATGACTTTACACTTCCTTCCTGGCTCCTATAGACATTGGGGTGTGTAACCCTGCTTAAGACCACAGTTCTTGAAGTCCTGGATGTTAACCTCAACTCTACCACTTTTTAGTTGACAAATGGATACATTAAACTCTTCATATGTGTCTTTTACTATAAAATTGGAGTTAAGACTACTTCACAGAGATGTATGACTTTAACGAGAAAAGGAATTAATTGGCCAGCACAAAGCTTAGTACATAAACACTCGAAAAATTGTGGTATTAATTTTTCATTCAGATGTGAATTCCTTAGAGCCCCTACTATATTCCTCTTCCAGTATTGGAAAACTGGCAAGTACATGGGCAGGAGAAGCAACTTAAAAGCATCCCCCACTTCGGTGCCGAGGAATGGCTTCCGCACTTAAAGTTTTAAGACAGTCTGTTTCCCTTCTTTGTTGCCCACGGATATGGCTCTACTGAATGAAGCATTCCTTGGGACCAAGGCATTGAAAATTTTAGAAGACTGACTTTCAATAATAAAAGGAGAAAGCTAACAATGACACCAAGGGCCCCTGCTACTAATCTGCATACTGGTTCCAAGGTCGAAGACTAGGGATCTGGGCACTAGATGCTTCCAATGAAGGATAAGATATTAATGATCAACTAGGATCAAGACCTGGCCACCGCTCAACCCCAATTTTTGTTTTTGATTTTATAGGGAATTTAAGAGGCTAGGACATAAAAGAAGCACCTAACAAACCTGATGGTCCCACCACAGCCCTCTAGCCCATTCCCACTTTCTGTGCTTCTAATTCAGGAATCTAGCGGGGGGCAAAAATGGGCCACCTGCCATGTGGCACAAAGGCCCTGGAGTGGGAGAGAGTCGAAGACTCCTCCCAGGTCTCTCTCTTCCCACCTCCTCTTCCCGCTGTTTAATGAGTCTGCGTCTTCATTCCATTCTGTGACTCAGTGATTAATGGTTATGTGCTCAGCACTGGACTAGACATTTTGATCCTCTTCCTATTTTTCATAATAACTCCTGTCCTTCTACCCCTTTTCCTTTTGCATTACTGAGTTTCCCATGTGCTGTTAAGAGTCCCTCCACACTTTAAAGGAACAGAACTAACTCCTTTTTCTACTGCAAATAATATGAACTGGTCCTTGGGGGATGAGGAGAGAGTGACAGACGGCCTGAGCGGCACCTTAGGGAGCTAACACGGCTCAAGAGGAACACACAGGCAGGTAACGGAGCAAAAACAGAGGAGTTTTTTATTTCTACTCTGGATGTAACTCTTTTGTTATCAAAAATAACCATGTCAGCATCAGTAAGCAGCTGATTATAAAATGTGCCCTTGGCAGAGACAGAGAAAGTTAACATTTAATGAATACCTGCCATCTGCCAGGCACTATGTGAGGCTAGCAGTGCTCAGTATTTAGTGGTCAAGGACTCCTCTGGGATTCTTATGGAGGCTCTGAAATCTCTCCCTTAGAAAAATTCAAACATACACAAACTTTTACATAGAATTACAGGAGCAAAAGATTCCTGAAATCACAAACTCCAGATTAAAACCTTTGGCTAAGCCCTTAAATGTGCCTCTTGAGCATGGCATCATTGAGATGGTATCGTTCCCCACTCCCTTACAGAGTGGGGAACATGCCCAAGCCCACATACGTAAGTGACAGAAACAACATCTCAACCAGAGTTGTCTAAACACTACAGCTTGCTGGCCGAGATGAAAATGTCACTTGGTTTTTACTGTTACTATAACCATCCCTCCTTATTTTTAAATGAGGACATAAAGATTATGTGAGAAACTGAAATCTGGGCAAAGCATTCTAGACTCAGCCAAGTGAAATCAGGAAACTCAAAATTCCCAGAGGTTCCAATCCCATGTCCTATCAGCCAAAAAAGCCCTACTCCCCCTGAATCCACCCACCCACCCAGCTGGAGAGCAAGCCAAAGACACACTGTTCTTAGGTGTCATAGTCTTCAGAACAAGAGGCCATCTCTGTCATAACAGCTCAAACTTGAAACAAACAATTTTTTTTAAGAGGCAACCTCTCTTTAAAATAATCCATCAGTCAAATGTAAATGAAGAGACTGGTCAAAGCCTATAGATATGAAACAAAAGAAATTTAATTTCCGAATATTACATGAATATAAAAGGAAAACAATACATGTTTATTTACAGTTACATATATATATATAGGATATAGTTGAATAAGAATGAAAAAATAAAAAATGGTTAAACAGTTAAGAAACCTTGCTTCTCTTGTTGAGCGAGCTTAAGGGTAGGGAAAAGGCAAGCCTTGCTGTGAAGAAAGGACCCTGGGGCAGGAGTGTTTTTCCCAACCAGTTCTGCTGGTCCCCAAACATATCTGGGGGGAGTGCTCAATGGCTCTTTAGCATCTGCTGTGGCCTCGCACACTCCAGTTTCCATGGTAACCCAAGCACTCAGGCTATTAAGTCTTAACTCCACCTCCTCACCAGCCCTCCCATCCACTCTCCACCTGTGGAAACAGCTCAGCATGACCTGCAGAGGAAAGCCAGCTCTCCCACAGTGAGTTTTAAATCGGATTAATTACCACTGGTCTGAAAAGCTTGGGCATCTTAGAAACCCGAATCTTCCCCAATTCCTACAGCAGTCCTGCCAACTGCTGGTATCCAGCTTTGGATCCAGGTCCTGTCTTTGGTACCAAGGCTTCCAGATGGATGCAGCTCTCTCCTGGGGAAAGGAATTCTACTCAGAAAAGACTTCAGAATGAGAGCCAGTTTCAAGCATCTGTGTGAGGCTCTGCAAGAAGTAAGAAAGCAGATGAAATAGAGAGACCACTCTGCAACCACAGGATCTTCTGGAAGGTGGTGTTTTAAACCATATCTTAGCAGAGGTTTCTATGAGGAAAGCTGAACAGAAACACTGCTGTTCCAGAGGAGAGAATGGCTCTGCTCTGACACTCTGGAACCACTGGCTTTCTTACAAGCCAATAAAACAGCCACCGCTGGAACAGCCAGTGATCACCACAATTAACCCCAAACTGCTCTGTTTCCCAAGGTAGCCCATTGTCATTCCTGACTACGGAAGAATCATTCGGAGGTAATGAGCTAGTGGAGGGTCAACTACAGTTTCAGTTACGATTCACAAGGTACCTGAGTTTTGGCACTCAGGTACAATCAGTATCATCTAATCCTCTTTCACTGCTGCAATGGAGTCTTTCAAAGCAGGTACACTGAACTGCTGTACCAAGTTAGAAAGTGAGAAAGTCCAGTGCCCAAGGTTTTCACTGATTCAACCAGGATAGCTCACCCAGTGCCAACTGATCTGAATTAAGGAAGTGGTCTGCATTTTTTATGCTTGAGCCCACACAAGATATACTGCCCCACATTAATATTACATCAAAATCCACTGCTACTGACCCCAGAAAGAAAGGAAATTTTAAAAGCAACAAGAGGCATTTCCAAAGAAATTGTTTCAACATGAAAAACAAACATAAAACAGATTTTTTAAATATTACATATTTTTTAAATTGTTAAATACTGGCTCAAAAATGCCTGCCCACCAAGTCAGAAAGGAAACACGACCCTCCTGTAGCAAATGATAGAGGGTCTTTGTTTTTGCATTCTCCGTATGATTCCACAGGATTAGAACAGTTACATATTATAAGGCAGAAGGTTATGCTGTTTATTTCTCAAATTTGGATTCCAACTAGATCACAGCTTCTGTTAAAAAACAAACAAGAAAAGACCTATCATACCCTTACAGCAAGGGAAATCATATTTAATAAATACTTTAATGAAACACACATACCCAAATACCCACATAAACTGCCCAAAGGGGCAAGCTATATAGAAGCACAGGACAGAAATCTCTCACCACCCCAGCCCCAGAACACCAGCCTGGATTACTAACTGCAGTCAACCAACTAAATCTCAAATAGAACCTCCCCCTCCAATAGAACCACAGAACCAACTCGATGACAAGGAGGTATGAGGTCACACTCTGCTCCCTCCACCCGTGCCAGACCACGTTTAGCAGACCACAGCACTCCAGAACGCGCCGCTTAGACAAACTAAGAAAGCAAGTACTGAGTTAAGGGAAGACACCACCTGGTCGTACCACAAGGGGTCTCTGTTTGAGCTCACTGACAGCTGGTGCAGGAAGTTTTATAAGGAAAAAAGTCAAATAGAACCCTATATGTATGAACTTGCTAATAAGTATTTTTTAAGAATGACATAAAACTACTGTAGAGAAAGGGACTTTAGAGCAGCTTTATACTCCTAACCATCTATTATTTACAATCTATCAAGTTGGATGGCCAAATTTTCCATTTTTCTCCACTACTGTTGTTACGGCAGCAGAAGAAACAGAAAATACAACAGACAAGACTGACTTCCAGATACAAGAGCAAACTGTGCTCCCCAGAATCATCTTTGTTTCAGCAATAACACACCATTTCAACAGTTTAAAAATAGGGCAGAAGTCATAGTTTGCTGGGCAACTGCCTTTCCCCTGAGGCCCGACTCAGCTCCAGCACGTGGGGTAAGAACGGTTACGCATCTAACAGAGCAGGCATATAACAACACTCCCTCCTGCCCCTGCTGCTCTCTGGACAGTGACATCTCACACTGGATCAGAGCTGTGCCACTCTCCTCAAAACACACGTGAACATCCCCAACCCAGTCAAAGCTCCAGCCCACCTCCAAACTACCCCTGGTGCCCACTGTGACAAGCAAAGGGGCAGGCCAGCAGCTGCCCTTGAACACAGGTGATAAACCACAACCGCTTCCAAACAAGAACATTCTCTCCTTTAAATCTCAGTCCTGCAGAGACAGATGCGCAGTTCCTTCCTCTGACTCCAGCTTGCTCTCAGGAGACGGTCCAGCCTGCACACCTGATCCCTTAGAAGGATGAAGTATAATCTCAGCCATCAGGAGTCATCCTGGCCATAAAGCCAGCCCCAGCCTAATCCTACTCCAGAGCTTCCACTACTTACAGGTACTTCAGCAAGCCTCAAGTAAGCTGTTGGTGACATGCCTTGAGTCACAGTGACTGGGCACAGAAGGCACCACATTGGCACCAGACATGTTTTAGGTGAGAGGAATCTGAATGAATGCAGGAGTTCAGCAACCATATGACTATTCTGACATCACTGAGGAAAGAGGAAGACAGGGAGGGAGACAGAAAGGAAAGAGGGAAGAAAGGACACAGTTTAACATCATTTGCTAAGATACTGCATCATTCAGAATTAGTCAATACTGCAGGCCAAATACCTATAATCTCAGGCCCAAGAAATCATAAAAAAAAAAAAAATTCCCAGGAAAGCGATAAATTCTTTGGACACAAATAGGTACTGAGGAGTACAGCCTCATAAGACAAAGAGCTTAAGGTGAAAAAGAGAAAAGACATCTGGCTTAGAGCCCATTTCAATTACCTATCCAAAATATGGCTTTTAAAAACATAAGAAAAAACAAATAAACAAAACAATACCCAACATATCCCCCAATACTATCAAAACAGAGAAAAGTCCAAACTATCAGTTAAAAATAACATCAATCCACTAGGATTGACTGCACTTTTTAAAAAAATCACTGCAGTTGAGCACAGACTTCAAATTTTCAAAACACAGAACCTGCCTAAAGAAACACATGGAACAGGCAGGGGAGCCTGCCGAGTTCTGCTCATCGATGTGCTGTGTGTAAGCTGGTTTGGCGGTTTAGTGGTTCCCACAGAACATTGTTTTTAAAGAGAGAGAGAGAGAGAGAGAGAGAGTCGCTAGCACCGGTTCAGTAGGCAGAATCTGCAGACATCTCCGCTGAGTGAGGTTAGAGGTATCAGTTGAGTCACAGGATTAGTTGGCTTTCACAATTCAACACGCAGCAAGCAAGCTGCAAGTCCCAGCTTTTCTGCGGGTGGTCACGGCCCCTGGCCCACAGAAGAAAGAATTCTGGGTGGACAACAGGAAAACTCTGGATCCTTCAGAAGAATCCTAAGCTGAAAGAGAAAAAGGAACATTAAACACATTTGTAAATATTTCTTTCTGCAAATATCCCACCTAAAAGCTAGAGAAATCTATACTTAGTATTTCCTACAACCTGAGGGTTAGAGATCAATCTGTTGGATCATCTAAAAAGCAACAGAAACAGAGAAAAACATCTACTTCTGTTTTACTGAGTATGCCAAAGCCTTTGACTGTGTGGATCACAACACAGTTTGTGGAAAATTAAAGAGATGGGAATACAAGACCACCTGACCTGCCTCTTGAGAAATCTGTATGCAGGTCAGGAAGCAACAGTTACAACTGGACATGGAACAACAGGCTGGTTCCAAATAGGGAAAGGAGTACGTCAAGGCTGTATACTGTCACTCTGCTTATTTAACTTCTATGCAGAGTCCATCATGAGAAACACTGGGCTGGATGAAGCATAGGCTGGAATCAAGATTGCCAGGAGAAATATCAATAACCTCAGATATGTAGATGACACCACCCTTATGGCAGAACCTGAAGAAGAACTAAAGAGCCTCTTGATGAAAGTGAAAGAGGAGAGTGAAAAAGTTGGCTTAAAACTCAACATTCAGAAAACTAAGACCATGGCATCTGGTCCCATCACTTCATGTGATGGATACCAATGTATCCTTCAAAAATAACTTATGCTTGGGGAATAGATGGGGAAATAGTGACAGACTTTATTTTGGGGGGCTCCAAAATCACTGCAGATGGTGACTGCAGCCATGAAATTAAAAGACGCTTAGTCCTTGGCAGGAAAGTTACAAACAACCTAGACAGCATATTAAAAAGCAGAGACATTACTTTGCCAACAAAGGTCCATCTAGTCAAAGCTATGGTTTTTCCAGTAGTCATGTATGGATGTGAGAGTTGGACTATAAAAAAAGCTGAGTGCTGAAAAATTGATGCTTTTGAACTGTGGTATTGGAGAAGACTCTTGAGAGTCCCTTGGACAGCAAGGAAATCCAACCAGTCAATCCTAAAGGAAATCAGTCCTGAATATTCACTGGAAAGACTGATGCTGAAGCTGAAACTCCAATCCTTTGGCCACCTGATGTGAAGAACTGAGTCATTTGAAAAGACCCTGATGCTGGAAAAGATTGAAGGTGGGAGGAGAAGGGGGTGACAGAAGATGAGATGGTTGGATGGCATCACTGACTCAGTGGATGTGAGTTTGAGTAAACTCCGGGAGTTGGTGATAGACAGGGAGGCCTGACGTGCTGCAGTCCACAAGATCGAAAATTGTCGAACACGACTACGCAACTGAACTGAACTGAACTGCAGGTTAGAGAGTCTAATTGAGAATTGTTTACTCTCTACAAAGTAAGCATCCTTTTGTTCTCTTGCCCTAATCTCACTTTATTAAATCATCTAAATGGCAATAACACTACCTTTACTGAGTGCATATTTTGTGCCAGGTGTTGCTGAATTCTTTATGTACACTGTCTCATTCACTCTCACAAAAAACTGCATGAAGTAATGTTCTTGCCATTTTATAAGTAAAGAATCTGAAGTCTATACAGATGAACTTGCCCTAAAATATATAGCTATTAAGGCTGTGGACTAAAACCAAGTCTAACTGAACTCAAAGCTCATATTCTTACCACCACTACACCTCTCACCAGCAAATGTTTACTAAATGCCTACTGGATGCAAGGCAGTCATTACTGTGCAGAAGAGAAGGGGCGGGGGGTCACAAATAGTTTGGCCTTGGTCTTCCAGAAGAGAAACTAGCTAAAGGGCTGAGGGTATCGCCGCGAAAGGATGGTGTGCAAAAAATGTGAAAAGAAACTTGGTACTGTTATCACTCCAGATACATGGAAAGATGGTACAAGGAATACCACAGAAAGTGGTGGAAGAAAGCTGAACGAAAATAAGGCTTTGACCTCAACAAAAGCAAGATTTGATCCATATGGAAAGAATAAGTTCTCCACTTGCAGAATTTGTAAAAGTTCTGTACACCAGCCGGGTTCTCATTATTGCCAGGGCTGTGCCTACAAAAAGGGCATCTGCACTATGTGTGGAAAAAAGGTTTTGGATACCAAAAACTACAAGCAAACATCTGTTTAGGTGTATTGAAGTTTTACTTTTTGCTTTGAATTTTCAAGGCACAACTTAGATGTTCAAGTTACAAAATAACATGTCTTAAGACAATTAAACCAGGGAAGTAGACTGGTATTCTTTCTTCTGCTGTCAAGAAGGTCAGCAGCAATGTAACTAGTTTTCTGCCGTAAGCTTTATTTTCTTTACAAACATCTTATTTAACTGGAGTAAGTAACAAATCTAACAAAAATATTTTCCTAGTTCTGTATGCACTTTTAAATTTATCATTTCTCATATAATTTTAATTCTTTTTCCCTCTACATTATAGATATTGCAAAAGAAGGAAGCTATTGATACATGGCTTTGAATTTGGCATTCAGACTTGTAATCCTTCCCTCATTCCCTGTTGGTTGTGTAGCTTCAGAATCAGCCGTTCCTTAATTAATTGCAGCATCATAGGGCATTTAAATATCTGAGCCCATTGTTGTTTAATAGTTCCTTAAATAAATTATCCCAGACCCAAATTAAAAAAAAAAAAAGAAACTAACTAAAGAAGTAAGACAAAACATATGAAGTAAATAACTAAGATAAATCACATTAAATGTCAACATCTTCACAATGTCAATTAAGAGCTCAAAGGAAAAAGTACATCTGTCTTAGTTAGCCAAAGAAGATTTCACAGAGGAGGTAGGGCTTAGGCTGGGCTTTGAACAATGGCTAGGATTCTGACTGCTGAAAATAATGCCCATTAATACATAGGTGCTAAATCAGCAGTTCTCAACAGGGAGTGTTTCTGCCCCCTCCCCTGAAGGGGATATTTGGCAATGTCAGGAGGCAGACACTGGTTGTTACAACTGGAGGAAGGGTACTGGCATCCAGTGGGCAGGGGCCAGGAATGCAACGAACTCTCACACAACGCACAGAACAGCTCCCCACAACAAAGAATCATCTGACTTAAAATGTCAATAGTGCCACCTGAGAAACTCCAGGCTAAATACATGTCTTTGGGAATACACTATTGATGATGATAATAAAATTGCATTCTCTTCTTCAAAAAAATATTTGTTCCTTTAATAAAGTGAAAGTGAAAGTCACTCAGTTGTGTCCGACTCTTTGTGACCCCGTGGACTGTAGCGTACCAGGCTCCTCTGTCCACGGGATTCTCCAGGCAAGAGTACTGGAGTGGGTTGCCATTTCCTTCTCCAGAGGATCTTCCCAACCCAGGGATCGAACCCAGGTCTCCAGCATTGCAGACAGACGCTTTACCATTTGAGCCACCAGGGAAGTCCTCCTTTAATAAAATCAACATCAGAAAAAAAAAAAAAAATCTAGTACTGTGTTCATTGTGTAAAAGAAAGAGATGGCAGGCACTTGGATCTGTGGAAATGGAGACTAGACAGAGCTCAGATCTGGAGCTGCAGGCTGGGGAAAGGGAATCAGAGAACAGAACTGAGCTGCACAAGTAGACCAAACACTAAGGGGACAGGCATGGAGGGGAGGGCAGGGACAGGCAGAGCCTTAAGACGGAGCACTGAAAAAACATGAAGAGAGGGAGGGGGAAGCAGACGACAGTAAAGCACTGCAGAGATGGAAAAAAATCAAAGAGGAAGGAGGAGAAGGAGAATAGTGTGAAGTCATGACACCCACAGGTGTTCCCAGACAGAGGAAGTGAACAGGGAGAAGGTAAAGTGAAAATACCACTGCCTAATCCAGTGGGAGGTCATTCATTATCTGTGAGTCTCCATTTTTCTGAATCACTAACATTTTTGAGAATCTTATAAAAACTATACATTCTCTCTTCCAGAAAGATGTTCAAATGCACCTACACATAAAACTCCATCAATAATACCAGGAACTTTATTAGAGCCCTTAGGAAGTCCACAGTAAACAGGAAGAATCCCTGCTCTAAAACTTCTTGGTAAAATACTTAACTAGCTTATTTTCTTAATGCATTTCTTTCTTCCGAAAAGAAATCTAATTTCCTAGAAAAGTATAAAGATTCATCTGTACGGACTGGGCTTTTGTTCTCATTCTATTGTTTATGCCTCAAACAGTAAGTATGTTTGTATCTCAATGGTAAAATGAGCATATCAAACCAGAAATTACTTCATCTGCCATGCAAGCCTTATAGAACCAGACCAAGTCTTGCCCAGTTTTCCTTAGTAACAATTACTGCTGCCTGTTAATGCTTTAACAATCACAATGTGCTTTCAAAACATTGTTTTAATTGAGACTCATTAGAAAACTAAGAAGTAGATACAACTATTAATATTATCTCCATTTTCGGAGGAGAAAGTGGGCTGAGAGGGAGTGGTTGGTCCTAACCACAGATCCCCCGGCCTTTCCAGTGAGCCATGTGGCTTCCTCAGAGAAAAGCGCAGCAGTTGGTGCCCTCCATCAGCTGAGACTTGGGCAATCAGCAGTCTCAGCACTAAATTATCCTTTTTACCCTAAATATCCTTAAAAACATGTTGTATGATCTGATTTCCAGAGTCCTTTAGCATGAGCTCTTTATTTGAAAAGCCTAATTGAATAAACAAAACTAAAGTCTACACAGAAAAAGAACGCAATTGTTCCATGTTTGCTAAGCACCTTTTCAGCTCTCCTGTACTTGGTTTCACAAGTTAGTTTACACTTGCTTTTAATTTGCTTAACACGTACTCTTAAAATATCTTTCCCATGTGTCCTGTCTGTCTGAGGATTCAGGGACCCTGTGGGTCTGTGTTCACAGCTCTGCCCTCAGCACCTGGGACAGTTCTGAGTAGATGTTCAGTAACCATCTGCTATATAAACTCCAGGGTAAGGACCCAGCCTTCTAATTTTTACATCACTTCCAACTACCACCATACCACACTGGGAATTCAAAACCTGCTACTGACTGACTAGATGCAGAAAGGAACTACATTCACTAAGACATACAGAGTAAGTACAATTAGTACCTTTTTTCCCCTCTTTCTTCCCCTCAGGCCATTTCAGTCTTGTTGGTGTCATCATGACAGCTGGAGAGCCAGAAAATAACTGTAACAAGAAAATTTTAGAATGGTTTAAATGTCATTCCTATAAACAGATTTTGCTAACAGAGGAATTATTTACTTGTTCAATTTCAACATGAAGAGTTTCACCAACATAGTCATATCTCATTAATCTTCACTGTTTTACTGCTGGCTTAATGAAGTAACCATTCCTGGAAGGACGATTCCATGGCTGATGCAGTGTCAAGCAGGCCTGGCTCAAGTGTAACGCACCCTATGGGCTCTCCCAATACGAGCTGCTCCCTCCAGTACTTTGCGTGTGGAGCTATTTCACTGCATTGGTCATTTCTGCCTGTAACTGGCTATGTCCTCCCTGAACCTGAAATGTGTTTGTTGAATGAATCAATGAAAGCCTACAGAAAAAGACAATTCGCATAAATGAAAAGATTGAGAAAAAAGGCTGAATGGCCCAAAGAAACACAGTAAAACAAATGAGGGCATATTAATTTTCTTCTTTTCTACAGATGAACACATACAGAGAAAAAGTACAAAGAACAGTATCTTACTAAGTTCATATTTTCTTTGCTGGCTCTCTTCAATTCACCAATGGCTACAGAATCCGGAGTAGGGTACTTGTTTTTCTTTTCTGACACCATCTGATTTCCCAGGACCTTCCGCTGATTTAGGAAAAGAAAATATTTGATTTATAAACAGCTACTTGATCTGTATTATATATATCTATACTGGCCTTCAAAACTACAGTTTCTTAAGTTAAAAAAAAAAATCTCAGCTCTCTGATAAAGTCCCACAGGCATCTTACACGAGAGGTCAAAGCACGTTACTAAAAAACCTAAGATCACTGCCTTTCTTTAGGTGATCACTATTCCTCTTTAAACTATCTAAAGGACTGAAATGTTAAAAGAAACTTTATAGTTGATTTAAACCAACTAATATGGGCCAATTACAATGCTTCTGAGGCCATAAAAGAAATGCCAGTTACCTACCAGTATAATTTTTTCCCTAAAGACATGTCTCTAGCAGCTTTTTAAGAGTCCCTCCTCCCCTCCCTACTAAGAGACACTTAACACAGGGTCCACTCTAAGATTTTGCTTCTGTGTCATGTCTCCCTCACACAGGATTGGAAAATTCGGAAAAATTCTGTAAGAGCTCCTATTATAACCACAAGAGGATACAGGCCTTCTTAAAAGGGTCATGTGACCATACTGACATTCAATGCAAGACTAAAAGCCCTTTCATCTCTGAACAGCTTAGAAGCTGATGTAACCTACTGTAACAGCTGACAGTGACAATTCTACCATCTTCGAAGAAATCCTCTCTTTATTCTCCTTAGAGAATAAATTTGAATTCCAAAAAAAGAACATATCAAAACTAGAACATTAAACTTTACAATATAAACATCAGTAGGAATATTCTGATGCAATAAATCATTTACATAATAGTAATTTTGGAGGAAATAAGTCTAGCCAAAAAAAGTATCAAAGCAGGAAAGAAATCAAATAGCTAAAACACAGAAATGCTGGAAAAATAAGGCCAGTCCATCTTCCTTTCAGAAGTCAGATATCACCTCATAGTAAGCTGAATAGGAGATGCCAGGAGCCACACGACTAGCTATAAAGCTTCCACTGAATTTTTTAACAGACCTTTCACTATTCCTTTGCTGTCAAGCAGAAACCTACATCTATTATTAGCTTGAAAGTCTCCTCATTTACAACGAAAACACTTAACCCTTCTGTCCTGTGAAACTTATTAACACTGTTTAAATTATTGTTCTGATGTTTTCTCCTGATAGAATTATAAGCTCTTTTATAATTTTAAAGTTTTAAATTCTCTCTCAGTAAAGAAGAGGGCAGATGCCAAGAGACTATTATATTCTTATCTTTCAAGCAACAGTTAGCAATATTTCTAGAACCAACAGCAGAAGAGCTCACTATGAAGAAAAAACTATACCCATCTAACTTCAGTTAAGGAACATTTGTTTGACTAACACAGAGAAACATTTATTTAACTATTACTTTTCTTATTATCAATCATCTCTATGACCAAGAAGAATGACAGACTTTCCTTGGTTTCTTTATGCCTGGAAATTTGAACCCCCATAATCAGCTATCTACTGCCACCTGCTGGCAATATCCCTTAGTTACACGTTCAGATCATCCATGAAGACTGGAGTAAACTGAATATACAAACAGTGATGGCAGAAACAGCACAGAAGTATATACTGCATTTGTTTCAAAAACAAGATTTTTAATGAAGTTTTAGACGAAGAAAAGAAAACAACTGATCAAAATTTGGGGTTTACCTAAAAGTCACTAGGCTATTAGAAAATCTATTTCTAGTGTCTGTCAACTTTCTCACTTTGTAACTTCAGCAACCTGCACAGTAAATCAGAAATGAGGACTCTGTCCTTAGCCCCAGAAGACAGCAAAGGACCTTTATTCCTCTTATCCCTTACTTCTCCAATCACAGAGTCCCTTCTCTGATTTGAAACACAGCAGAATGCTATGAAAATTAAAAGCATTTCCAAATTCTATCCTTTTCTAAGTGAACCCTTTATAGAATCCCAAAGAATGGAACAAAACTGTTTATGCCTAAGAAGAGCCAGATTGTTAAATTTTCTCACGATCAATATTGAAAATGACAGCACAGCATGCCTACCTTAATGAGGCCACTGAAGGACCGTGAGCGAGCCCTTTTCTGCACCAGGGGAGTAGAAGGCTCGCGTCCCGGTGTCTGGGTCCCAGAATGCTTATTAAACTAGAAGCAAACATAGAGAACATTTTGTTACAGTCTCCCATCAAGAGACAGCATTCTGTGACAATTAATAGCTAAATGTAAATATTCAGAGACATCCAGGAATAAGTGAATGTGTACATACATGGATTAGTAGGTTGGCAAGCAAATCACAAAGGCAGAAATTATGCCACCAAGAAGTCAAATTTTATTAAATTAGCCTGAGGGTAAGTTAAATACTACATACCCCAAAGCAATCAAATTGGAATCAGATCAAGCTTCTACAATTAGATCTAACTATCAGTTTATAGCAAATACAGAGGACTAAGGAACATCTTAAATAATACCACAGGAATGCAATCAGCAAAATCCTGACTGTGGGAGACAATCTGCCTTCTTTCACAAATAAAGTGCAAAGAGAGCGGGAGGATGTGTGTATGTGTGTTTAAATGCAATGTGGTATCTGGACTGGCCCCTAGAACAGAAAAAGGATATTAGTGTTACAACTAGTAAAATCCGAATAAAGTCTGCAATGTTAACAGTAATGTACTAATGTTAACGTCTTACTTTTGACAACTAAGGAAGAACATTAGTTAGTGTTAGAAGGAACTAGGTGAAAGGTATGTGGGAATTCTGTACTATCTTTGCAATTTTTCTCCAAATCTAAATTATTTCAAATTTAAAAGTTTAGTCAAACAAACAAGCTTCAGCAATTTTTAGGGAGAAAAAAACAGGAAGGGGAGAGAAGGGACCTATGTATTAAAAGGAACCTAGCAGCTGTATCAGCTTCCCCCAGAGAATGCATACCCTTTGGTCATGCCACTTCTACGAAATAATCTGCAAAGAGAATACTTATGAACAAAAATGTATAAAGTAAAAAAATGCCTAATTTCCCCAATATGTCCAGCAGAGGACAAACTATATACATCAGGTTATATACAATGAAATACACAAGCATTAAAAATGCTTATAGACTTTTAATGACATGGAAAATGTCCTGATGTAATGTTATATGAAAAGGGTAGGGTATTTTTAAAATGGAATATATATTTTTACCTCAACTAAGCAAAAATAATATGAAATATATATTCATAGAAAGAAATACAAGAAGGAAATACTCAAAAATGTGACCAGTAGATTATAGATGATTTTTAACTTGCTCTTGACACTCTTCTGGAGACGTCAATGTTTCTGCAGTAAGTATTCATTATTTTTATAATGATGGAGAATAGTAAAATTATAGTTTTTTTCAAAAATAAATGGAAATATTTTAAATGTAGGCCAGGAGTTTACAAGCATGCATGAGAAAACACTTATGCTGTAATGGTTAATGAAAAAGGGAAAAATCAAAGTATATGGTACGATCGTAACTATGTCAAAATATATCCATAGGAAACAGACTGAAAGAATATCCAATATGTAAACACTGGTAGGATGAGTGATTTATTTTCTTTTAATCCTTCTCTATAATTTTCCAGTTTTCTAAGAAAAGCAAAACTAATGCTAGTTTTTCCCTTTGTATTATCTTTGACCTCAGTCTTCTTGATGAGAGAAGTCATTTACACTTGTCCTACCTGAATTACTGGCTTAGTTTCTACCAAGAATTAAACCACAAAACTGCTTTAAATCTGTAGTATTACTCAGCCATAAAATTCCAGTCACAGCACAATTTGCTAGATCTCAAAGTAACTTCAAAGAGAGTGACAGAAAAATTTCTCTAAAGGACTTTGTCAACTGTTAAGAACAGCTCAGTTCAACATTTTTGGAGCACTTGTTTTTGTCTGGCCCCGTGCTTGAGATAAACTATAAAAAATAAAAATAAAAACACAGACTCATCCCTCAAGAAGGTCCCAGTTGAATAAGAAGTCAGGAGGCTGACCTTGCCTGTTTAGCTAAAATTCAACAAGGGTTGAGACAAAATAAATTTCCTGAGAAAGAAACTAACCATGTCATCAGTATTTACACTGTTGAGTCTAAAGATGGCAAATAAGAGACCTAATTTTGCTCCCACAGCTCCAAAATAAACAAACTTAGCCACTAGAATTTCTATTTTTAGTAGCAGACAAGGCTCTTGATTTCGTGTTCTCTAACTGCAAACAACTCACTGGTGAGAGCTACCACTTCTGTAATGCTATGCCAGCCACTTTACATAGATTCTCTCTAATCTTTATAACCATGGAACATAGGCATTACAATTACCAATAAGAAGACTGAAATTCAGAAAGAATGGGTTATTTGCCAGGCTTAAACGTCGTACATGACCAAGTTAGAAAAACTAACCACACTGGATCCTTCTGTTTACTCAAGAAATCCAAGAGCCTCCACCTCTTTCCCTAGTGGGCAGCAGACAGAGATCACCACTGAGGTTCCATAGACAAGTCTGTTTTCCTGACTAAACCAAAGCTTGGGCCAGTAAAAGACAAAAATTAAATGAAACTGTTCAAACTATTCTCTAGTGATTCTACAAGCAAAAATCACATCCCTAAAGCCCCGTCACTATCTCCCTGCCTTCGGCACCTGTCTGATGAGCTGTTTCTTCTTTGCCGACTCTGGCATATTGTGAACATGTTGGAACAATTCTCTTAGTGCCTCTTCCGTACGCTGCTGGGTTTCCTCCTGATGAGAGCAGGAATCTACCCGGTTCCATTTTTGAGATCTTGCCAGTTGGAAGGACCTGGTATGACATGAAGCTATCAGATCAAGATCATCCTATGGAAAATTTAAAAGAACAGTGAATTAATATATCTTGCCAGCTTTGTTTCCAGATTCCCACAACCCTGGAAGGAAAAAAAAGAGAGGGTGAGATGTGGGGTACATCTTAGATGTAGGAACAAGAAAAACCTAAATACTATCATCAGATAAAGAGAAACCTACAATTAAAGACTGTATCAATAGCCTACTCCCATGACCTGCCCAGAAAACCTAAATTCATTTAGAATACTGCCATCAAAAAATATATTTATATAAGAATCCACTATTCAGAGCATCTTTTAATCTCATATTTCTAACTGTTATCCTAGGGGTTAAGCAGGAAAAGTATCATTATTACCATTTCACTGAAGTAAAAACTGAAGTTAAGTTGTAAGCTTAAAGTCATCTAGATACTAAAGTGACAGAGCCATCTTGGAGACAAGATTCACTGGTTCTTGGCTGGTGCTCTTTCCCACACATGACAATATGTGATAACTACACTGCAGTAGTAGAGAAATAAAAACAAGTTTCTAAGAAAAACCACACTCCAGTTAAACTAGTTAGAATAAAATACTGTTTTCCTGGTCACACCAGATATTTGCTCAATGAGAGGTAGAAACCAACGGGAGCAGGAAAAAAAGCATAAGATGATAGCTTAAAGTTTCTAGTCAAGACAGACTAAACAGAAATCCTCAAAAAGTGCTTGTGACATTTTTTTAACTTCTCACTTTTAAAGCTCAATAATCATATGTAATCTTGTTAATAAGCATTACACATTTGCTTTCTAAGCTCATACAGTCTTAAGTCTTTTAGGCATTTCAGTGTTACCTTACCAATGAACTTGAAAGAATGTCTTGTATAAAAATGTACTTTCATAGCTAAAAATATTTAAGACATTCGCTATTTACAGACTTTTCTCATACACTTTATTTTCCTATGTCTTCATGTTGACTCTGCTTTGTTGTAAATCCCCACTGATCTTAGTTAGCTCTCTCCTCGTTTGGGCCAAGAGCAATTTTCTATTCTTACCTTTGATGCTTGAGTTCTGGAACCCACATAGTGCAACCTGGCACAGTCCCGAATGTAAGCAGGAGCCTGGGCAGGATAAAAGAAAATCAAGGACAATCGGTTAGCAGTATCTAAAATTATTGCAGATCATGAGGACAGTGGTTCTTAAAATGATCTGACTGGCAGATTACTCTAGAAAAACGAAAGATCCTCAAAATGCCGTATTTCATAGTTTCACTTCTCTTGCCACCAAAAAGATAGCTCAAGAAATCTAACAGGAACATTGTGAGAAGACACGACCATAGTTTTAAAAATCATATATGGCACCTATGTGTGTGTATATATAATTTTTTTCAAATGAACCAAAACAGACATCTGTAGTAATGTTTATACTTACAAAAACTACCCCCAAATCCTTACAAATTTCAAGTGGTCCCTAAATCACATTTTAGAAACACTGTATAGAAAATATCATTTAGAATTACTGTAGAGTAACAACAGAAAAGGAATAATTTAGCTTACTGATATACTCAGAATCCTCTGGTAAGTACCCTGAAACAGTACTAGTAGAAGAATAAATAATATAACCACTACAGAAGAGAATCTGGCAGTATCTAAAAAAATTACGTTTTCATTCATCCTTTAAACCAGAAATTTCACTTCTGAAAACCTATCCTGAAGATATAACTCCAAAAATACAAAACATACTTGGATAAAATTGATAGATACAGCTAGATGTCTATTAATAGGAAGTTGACTGAATAAGCTTTTATTAATATAATCCATATAATGAAGTGCTATGCAGTAGTTAAAAAGGAGCGGAGGGAGGGAAGAAATACTTTATGAACTGATATGAGTCTTTCCAGGACCTGCTGTTGAGTGGAAAAGTTACACAGCAGTGTATAAAGTACTTGAGTGAGAAAGAAGAGGAAACAAGAGTATACACACATATATACCGTAGTCAGACACCACTGAGCAACTGAACTGAACTGATACAGTAATATGCTTTTACAAAAAGAAACACTAAGAAAATAAACCAGCAAATAATGAAAATGGTTAGGAAAAGAACTCAAATTTCTCTAAGCATACTTTTCTAAGAAGTTTTGACTTTTGAACCATGTAAACATACCACAGTTTCAAAAAAACAAATCCAAAAGAAAAAAAAACCCTAAACTGAGTAACAACAAAATAAGCATATCTGTATATCAAACTGACAACATAAGCACAGAGAAAGGAATTATTCCACCAACTTTTAAAAACTGTATTTTGACTATACAGTATTCAGCCTAATGAGATATACTCAAGGGAAAAGGAACTGTAAGGAAATCTTAAACTTCCATTAGCAAATATACAGAAGTTTATTATTAGTAGTAAGAGTTGCATTATTTTGAAACTAATTTGTTATGTTGCAGGATAAAACAAATAACAAATATAAATGCTATTAAAATCTAGAATTTGCAATGTAAAAATTTATATAAGTATAAAGTAAAAGAAGTCAAGAAAAAGAAAGCCCTGTAGTGTTAAATCTGAATTGGAAATACTACTATGAACTAATGATTTCCTTTTTAAAAATTTTTTATCTACTTCCTTGCCTTCAAAAGAGCCTAGAAGCAATGACACCCAAGAAATAATAAGTAGGTACACCCAGTGTCAGTGGAATAATCTAGGACTCGCTAAAGAAAACAACTGATTCCAGGCCCAGGGCAGAGCAAGTACAAAGTAAGCTGAGGACATTTATACCAGAATGGAAACACTCCAAGACTAATGGAGTCCTGTCAAAAAGACACAGCAGGAAACAGCTTGCAAGGGCTATTACAGGCCAAATTTAGTATAATTTGAATATTAAAATTAACAACTGAAATTGACTAACACTTTGAATAACTAAAAATCCATGAGTCTACAGAGACTTATAAAAAAAGAAAATAAGAGGGGACTTGCCTGGAGGTCCAGTGGTTAAGACTCTGCGCTTCCAGTGCAGGGGACACAGATTCAATCCTCGGTTGGGGAACTAAGACCCCACATGCCACATGCTGTGGCCAAAAAATAAAATTTATTTTTTTTAAATAAGAGAGAGAGAAGAAAAGCTCTTGTCCAAAGACAAAAGTCAGCTAATCAAGATTAAATAATAGAATTAGAAAATCACTATTTTGTAATAGTGTTACAATACAGTTACAGATGCCAGCAGGATTATCAGTGGATGCTAAAACCATTACACTCGGTGATCACCCTGCAAGTGACTTGCTAACTGTCAAGGGGAAAATGCACCTTGATAATTGAGAGATGTGGCAGCAATTAGCAAAACTAGCATCACTAAGGCAATCTGACATTCTGTGCCTCCTAATGTGATGCAATATGATGCAATACGTTGTACACAAATATCACCTATGAATCTTTGCCAAAAATGCTTAATCTGAATCTAATCAAGCCTCTAGACCCAACTTGTGGTTTATAGGAGCCACGGAGAAAGGGATAAAGGATAAAGGAACAAGCTAAACAACCCTGAGAAAACAATAAGACAAATTTAGAATATGGAATATTCGGCAACACAATAGGCCTGAATACTTCAACAAATCAATGACATAAAGAAAAAGGGCAGTGATTATTCTAGATTAAAAGTGATATAATAAGGCAAAACATAAGCCTTGATCAGTTTATGTTTCTTAAAAAAGGAACTATAAAAATACATTCTTAGGACAGCTGGTGAAATTTGAATATGATTTGAATATTAGCTGATATGAAATTGGTATAAATTCTCTTAGATGTGATGATGATATTGTGAATAATAGGAGAATATTTGTATTCTTAGGAGATGCATGCGTTTTCTTAATTGGTACTTCTATATTACTATTTGACTTCTGTTTTTTTTATTTTTTGAATTATGAAAAAAATGATAATACATTTATATACTGGGAAAACAGAGCAAAGTTACATATAGTTCTACTATATATCACCATTATTGGGGGGTTAGATAAATTAAGATTCCCAGTTGGAGTTTCAATATCCAATGCTCAAAAATTAATACAATGAATAGAAGAGTAGAGGGATATAGTCATGCTTAAGTTTTAAAGGACAAAATACCCTGTCAGTGGTTCAGCCAAAAAATAAAATAAAAAGCATGAACACAGAGAGATAAAGCAAATATGCCAAATGGTGACATTCATTGAATCTGAGAGTTTTATTTCAATCTTTCAACTTTTCTCTAAATTTGAAAAACTTCATAATGAAGTTTTCAAAAAAAGAGTCTCATGACAAAGACATTACATTATCTAAAGTTTAATTTTTCCCTTGGTAAACGACAGAAGAGCGCCAAAGGAAATTTCCTCCAAACAAGAATATGACAGCCCACATCACCTATTTTATAACTTCATTTAAAAAAAAACAGAACTTCCCTGATGGCCTGGTGGTTAAGAATCCAACTGCCAATGCAGGGGATAGGGGTTTGACTGCTACCCCAGGAAGATTCTACGTGCCACGGAACAAGTAAGCCTGGGTGCCACAACTGCCGAACCTGCGGCTGGGGCCTGGCAGCTGCAACTGCTGAGGCTGTGTGCCAGCACTACTGAAGCCCGAGCGCCCTGATCCCGTGCTCTGCAACGAGACGGCATCAAATGAGAAGCCAGTGTACCTCAACGAAGAGTAGTCCCTGCTTACCACGACCAGAGAAAAACCCACGCAAAGCAACAAAGATCCAGCACAGCCAAAAATAAACAGATAACTTAAAAATTTTAAGAAACATAAAAACCATTGCCCCAAAAAGATACTATGAGCTGAAGAGATACTCAGAAAGGGAATCAAAAGTAATCAAAAGTAGATGGGTTTAAATGAAAATCTGAGGGTTTGAGGTATTTTCCAGTTCACAGGAAAACAACAAAAGGCCAATTCACATAAAATGGGGATTGGCCTTAACTATATGTGTGTGTGTGTGTGTGTGTGTATACATATATGTATATATACATCATAATTTCTGAGAAAAGATGTGGTGACTCCTACTGAGAAGAGAGAAAACCAGACTGGGTCAGATGGACTTATAATAGTAGAAGACAGAACTTTAAGTAGTTAGGAAGAATTTTAGGGGAAAAAATACAAAGTACACAGAATGAAACAACATAAAATCTGAGGATTAAGAGATAAATGGTCCACCCAAGGAACCTGAGAACAAAAAGACAAACAATCTGGGGTAGAGCAGGGCCTCTCAGAATATGGAGCCCACAGAACAATCAACCGTTTTTCATCCAGGGAAAAGCTCAGGGAAGAATCTACTGAGCCAAGAGGTGAAGCCGGTGCCCACAAGGACAACAGTTCTGACTCAAATCCAAAGATAAAAGTTCTAGGACCAAAACAAATCACACACACAAAAAAAGAAAACACAGCCTTTGTCTCCTTTAGAGATCAACAGAGGCTCAAAGAGTGCTCACACTAGCCTGGAAACAAAGATAAATAGCAAATAAGAATCAAAATCCCAAGGATGAGGAGCTAAACAAGGGATCTACAGAAAGGAAGAGCAAAACTAGACAATGTTGGAAAGAATGGAATAATTAGAACTTGTACCAAGTCAAAGAGTCCGAAATGCAGTACTTGGATGCAACCTCAAAAACGACAGAATGATCTCTGTTTGTTTCTAAGGCAAACCATTCAATATCATGGTAATCCAAGTCTATGCACCGACCAGTAACACTGAAGAAGCTGAAGTTGAATGGTTCTATGAAGACCTACAAGACCTTTTAGAACTAACACCCCAAAAAGATGTCCTTTCCATTATAGGGGATGGGAATGCAAAGGGAGGAAGCCAGGAAACACCTGAAGTAACAGGCAAATTTGGCTTTGGAATACAGAACAAAACAGGGCAAAGGCTAACAGAGTTTTGCCAAGAGAACACACTGGTCATAGCAAACGCCCTCTTCCAACAACACAAGGGGAGACACTACACACGGACATCACCAGATGGTCAACACTGAAATGAAACTGACTATATTCTTTGCAGCCAAAGATGGAGAAGCTCTATAACAGTCAGCAAAAACAAGACCGGGAGCTGACTGTGGCTCAGATCATGAACTCCTTATTGCCAAATTCAGACTTAAATTGAAGAA